CGCGTAATGGTGACGTGAGAGTAAGACAAGAAGGAACGGGGACAACGAGTGCAGGAACTCACATTGGCATGGGTGATTTGACGCAGTTGGGTGGGCCCAACGTGCGGCAGCTGGAGGAGGGGCGTGATGGCAACAGTGGGCGAGAGAGCCTGCACCAACAGGGAGGTGAGATGCATGCAGTTCTCGATAGTCGCCAACACCTGTGGCACCTTCTTCCTCGAGCCGCCTAAAGGGAGGAGAAAACAATGACTGTGTGAAAAGTAGCTGTGCTTAAAAGGCTGGTAAGAGGGGCTGCGGAAGAGCTCCCCATCCCGATAAGCATGATAGTAAGAAGAAATGTGAGCCATTATCTCAGCTTTGTGAGGACGTAGATAATAAAGCTAATCTTCCAGACGATCCTATTTTATGCTCCTTTTATATCAGCTGCTTTCATTTCACCCTTATTTTCCATTTCCCTCTGTGTAGCAGAAAATACACGGAGGAAACCTCGCTCTTAATGCCTTTGTTGGCACAGGGTAAGTAGTGATCCATCCAGCAGTGAATCCCACCCACTACGATGGAGGAGAGTGAAAGGAATGATCCAGTAAACGCTCGACATTATTGAAGAAAAAATTGGGTGCATCAAGACCATCATATTGCCCATTCCAAAGGAATGAGATTCTGTTGTGATAAATTAAACCATTTTTAAGTTCTCGCCAACTGCGCCCATTCATTTGAAGCCAGTGAAGGAAATCGTGCTGGTGAGCCGAGCGCATTTACTCTGCAAGCCAACACTGACAGGGAGGAAGTGGGAATGGAGTAAAGAACTTCAGGGGGAAAATGTGTGCCCGCAAACGTCTTTTCGCCGGGAGGAGAGGAGTAGTCACTGGTGCGTTGCTGCTTACGAGGTGGAAAGTTAACCCAACTGAAAGCGAAATAATGCCGCTGCATTCGAATGAGCAGTTGTTAATGCATGACGGCAAAAACTCTTGGTGAATGTGCGCATACACAGGTAATGCCATTAGAGGTCCACTTTTCCAACGCAAGTTGCACCAGCTCGGCCATTCTGCATTTTCAGTTATAAGAGCTCTGTAAGCACAAGTTATAAAGCTCTAACACTATCCAAACCTGTAAGAGTAACTTAATTAGAGAGCCATTCCTTCGGTGGTGATAAGAACAACGCCCAAATCAGCCAGTGAAGTCCTAAATATTATGGTTTCGAGCCATGCAACCGCAAGGACCAACCTTGTCTCCCGCCTATTTTGACGGAAATAAGGGAATAAACAACACCACCTCTTACAGGCTACACGTAACTTGTACAATCATGGGTGGCTTTTTATTCAGAGTTTTCCAGGCGGAATTTGGTCTCGTCTCAAGAGATGATCCCAAAGCTCAACCGTTCAATCAACCCTGGCAAGCATTCGGGCCTATGACCCTAAGTAAGCGTATTCAACTCCTGTGCATCCCAAAAAATAGGATTGGTGCACGACGAATAAACAATCATCCAACGGACAGAGCTACAACAAACATCAAGCATAGAGTTTCCCAAACGAAAGCTCTCAAAGTAACGTTTTCTGAGAGCTGTAAAAAATTGCTGGTCAAAACCGACTTTACGAACCCACCTGACATAAAGGATGCATTGTTAATGCAAAATTCCTTTGCGTAGTCAAAAAACTTTCATATGGTAAGATTACGTGACCAGCTAACTAAGCATAGGCAAAGAGACTCACGATCCTCAGTGGCCATGGACAAGACGATGAGCAGACTGTTGATCATCTCCTCGAG